AAGGGTGAGGGCAGGGAGGACTAGGCAGTGCCCGCCTGAGGGCGCTCCTGCTTTGGGCAGCCCCAGAGGCCCAGAGAGGGCCAACTCCCAGCCAGGGCTGCACAGCCAGGCTGGAGAGCCTGCTTTTCTGTGCCCATCTCACTGCGGGGACAGCTGAGCTTCCCAGAGGCCCATGGGGACTGGAGCCCCAGTCCAGAGCCCACTCCACCTTCCCTCCAGGAGACCCTGCCCTCCCCCATCACTGTCCTTTCTTCTCCCGCTGTCCTGTAGAATCTGTGCCTGCTGCTGGAGAAGCAGCACGACGAGGAAAGGAAGTAGGAAAAGGAGAGGTCCGAGACAGACACAGCATTGGATTAGGACCTCGGGGAGTTTGGGGGTCTATCCTGAGACCCCCACACACCCTGTGTGCCTCGGTTCTTTCCCTCAGTTGCACTAATAAAGTTTCTGCATTTGGAATAGCAGGTTGTCATTTGCTCACTCATTCATTCATTCACTCATTCATTCATGTTGAAGCCGGCGCCCCTGGCTGCAGAAGCCCCTGCTGTAACCCCCAGCACACATGCCAGGATGGACGATGGCACGTGATGTGGGAGCCCAGCTGGAGAAGGTTCCTTCTGCAGGAGGGAGAGTCTGGGAAGACTTCCTACAAGGGGCATCTCAACACCTGCTGTTCCTGCTACAAGCCAAGGGTCTGAGAGGACACTTTTGAGGAACATAAGGCAGAGGACCCTCAGTGGGATTTCAGGAGGATAAGGGGTGGAGAGGACTCAGGCACAGGGCACGGTGCTGGTCTTGAAGGACCTTATGGCAAACAGCACCCTGGCCATCTGGGAGGTGAGCTGGGTGGGGCCTGGCGAGTGAGTGCAGCTGCCAGGGCAGAGACAGGGGGAATGTGGGAAACACAGAAGCCACCAGAGGGAGGCAGGAAGAGTGGGAATGCACCCCCAACAGGCCCACAGGAGAGGGAGGCAGGAAGAGTGGGTATGTGCCCCCAACAGGTCCACGGGTGGGGAAGGGGCGAATGGCTTTGTCAACCTTCCACCCGACCAAACTGACTTTAGAAACCACAGGTCAACCGACATACACCACAAACTCTGGGAATGTTTTGGGGTTTTTTTGGCTTTTCCTTTGTGGTTTTCTGGCTTTTCCTTTTTTTTATGATCAATATTCATTCTTCTTCATTTGTCTCATAACGAAAATAGACTTTTCCAATGCCCCAAATATACAAATATCACTGATGCACACACATTCCAGAAAAGCTGAGGTACGTGCTGCTACGGGGTGGGGGGATAGGACACGGCCGGACAGGTAGCTGGCCACTGGCCCAATTCCACAGGGATCCCCAGGCCAGAGCGGGGGTCTCGAGATGAGGTGCAGAGAGGAGCCATGGAGGATGGTTCCTGGGTGTCTCCATCCCAGAGGCCCATGGGAAAGGCTGCTCCAATCACAGAGGAGCTGGGCGCAGGTCATTCTGGGGGCCCACACCCCAAGATATTCCAATGGTCCCAGAGGGTCCCACCTCCAGCCAGGTCTTTCCAGAGATGCCTAGGGCCAAGCGGCAGGTCCCAGGCCGGTGGCCAGGCTTGTGCCAGAGCCCCTGCCCCACCCCTTCTTATCTGGCCTCCTGAGGAGGCGGAAGCCCAGGAAATCTCCTCCGTGTAAGAAGTGTCCCCGTACGTAAAATGCATATTATTAGGGTGGACACGTGCAGGACACTGCCAGGGACTGCGTCTGGGCAACAGGTGGCCCTGGTCCCGGCACCTCCTTCAGGGGCTGGTGCCTGGGAAGCGGCTTCTCTTGATGAGCAGAGCTCTCCCATTTTGCAAACACGGAGACTGAGCAGCAGGGCCTGTGCTGGGGGGAGAACTCCTCATGAGGGGTCTTCATGGCTTTCATGGGAGACAGCAGCAGCTGCACGCCCACCTGTCCGCCATGTGTCTCTGCACCCCCAGTGCCATCAGAAGAGGCAGGAGCCCCGCAGGCTGTGGGCCTGGCACAGGTCGGCCGACAGGGAGCGGCTCATGTGCTTGGTGGTGGCGCGGACGCTCTCGGCTGCCTGGACAGCTCGGCTCAGGGCCTTGTTGAGCTCCTCCAGGTCCTCCAGGTCCAGCTGGATGGAGCGCCGGTGCCCTCCAGCTGCCCGAGAGGAGGCTGCGGGGGGCCACTCGGCAGCTGGTCGGGCTGAGGGGGTTGTGGGGGCTGAGGTAGGTCCTCCTGGAGGCGCATAGAACCTGAGGAGAAGAGGGAAGTGGCCGTTAACCGCAGAGAAGGCTGGGTGCAGCCAAGGAGCCCCAGGTTTGTAACCAACCCAGTTCTGAGCTCAGCTAGGCCACTGGCCCCTAAGCTCTGGGTCTCAGTTTCTTCACCTCTAAAATGGGAACAACAGAGGCAGCCCCTGTTGTGGAGAAGGGGGTGGGGGGCCCTGAAGAAGCATTTTACTTAAATGAAACATCAATGAGTTCAGGAGGCCTTGGCCTGAGTTGTTGGCTGGCACCCTGTAAACTCTGGTCTTACTGCCGATCCTCCACTTTCTAACTTGCATTGTTGTGCAGTGTACAAAGGGCTTTGCTGGGATCTGAATGGACGTCTCTCCAAAGAAGACACACAAATGGTCAACAAGCACCTGAAAAGATGCCCGGCATCATTAGCCATCAGATGCATGCAAATCACAACCACGTGAGGTGCCACTTCGTCCAGTTCAGTGGTTCTCCACCTTGGCTGCACATTAGAATCACCTGGGATTCTTTTTAAAATCCTGATTTCTGGGCCTCCTCCTTTGGAAATTGTTTCTTTGTTACTAATGTTGTGGCCCCACCCCAGAACAAAGAAACCAGGGGACAGCAGAGGCGCATGCAGCTTTCTAAAGGGCGCACAGGCCTCAGCCTCTGAGCATGCTCAGTCTTGCAGCTGGAGAACATTTAGGGCCCCACCAGCCCAAGTTGCAGCAGCATTAGAAGCACTATGGTTCCTGGGCACCCTCTATGCAGGATGGAGTGTCCGTACATTTATTAGTTCATTTCATCCCCACCACAGCCCATGTCACAGAGGAACAGGGACCTGCCCAAAACCATAACGCGGCTATGCTGGCCAGGACTGTCGGGCCCTGAGCCCGGGGCCTTTCTCCTCCCCCCTGGCCCATCCACGCCTGGGGACAGCACCCTGGTTAGTTCTGTCCACAGGTCTGAGCCTGGAAGGACATGGAACGGCCGCAGAAATAGGGACCCCAAGGTTACAGCAGACACTTGGAGTTTCTCCGGGGCCACCAAAGTCCAGGTGAAACCGTTCCTGCCCAGTGAGTGGGAGCACAGGCAGGGGCCTCCACCTGTGCCAAGGCCTGAGCACGCAGCACGGCCTCTCAGAATTGCCAGAACAGAAGGTTCCTGAAAGACTTGCCCGGACTCAGCTGAGAGTGACAGCCACACTGTAGCCAGAGCCTCATGGGGGACTGGGGCTCAATGGCGCCCTGCGCCTCTGCTCCCACCAGCCGGACACATCATACACGCGGGAGAAGACAAAGGGGTACATGCGCCCAGGTGCTCAGCTGCCTGACACGGCCCCATGCTAGTAATGAAGCAATTAGAAAGGCCGGGAGGGTGGGAACGGGGTTCTTACACAGTGGCTGACGGGTAAGGCATCACAGGTAGCGAGGAGATGTAGGCAAACGCAGGAGGGGCTGGTCCCGACGGCGCAGCAGCCAGATACCACAGTCCCGGGGGTGGCGCGGGCGGGGACCCCACCCGCTTGCTCCTCTGCTTGGGGCTGGAAGCAGAAGGTGCGTTCCTCCTTGTGGACTTTCCTGCCCCTGCCAGGTAAGGACACCAGAGAGACAGTATGACCACCTGGAAGATCTAGCAGAGAACAGAGGGTCCGCCCAGGGCCTGGCCTGTGAGAGCTGGACACGGGGCTGGCTGTGCTGGGAGTGCCCGGATTTGGGAGGTGAACCCTCTGCACAGCGTGCTCCAGACGGGACGGGGAGCGGGGGCAGCCGCCCTGCGCACCCCACATGGGCCCCAAGCCCCCACTGGCAGAGCTGAGGGAAGAGCCTGAGCCCTGTCCCTACCAGAGGTGGCTGCGTCTGGGCCGTCGCCCTCTGCGGGGGACCCAGGGGACCCAGCTTGACCACACAGGGGACATCGCGGGGCATCAGTGGGAGATGGTCCCAGTGGGTCCTTGGCGACAGCACCACCTGGAAGACCAGAAAGAGATGTGGGGTTGGGGGATTGTCTGAGGCATCAGGCCTGGAGCCTCCTAAGCAGACCCCCCCCCCCCCAAAGCACTGAGCTTCCCTCAGGAACCGTGCAGAGGACACAATACTGACGGCAACCATGACAGTGAGAAGCCACATTGAATGAGCCGGGCCGTCCGCTGAGGGCCTTCATGCATTATTTTATCAAATCCAACCAGCCACTGGGCTAGCTGCTGCCGTCACTCCACCCTTTACAGATGGAATGCTAAGTCTCAGAGAGGCTGAAGAATTCGCCAGGTTCTCAAGGCTGGGAGGCGGCAGTCCTCTGTCTGACCCCAAGCCCAGCTCTCCTGACTGCAGCCAGGGCCTGTGGTCCTTCCTCCACAGAGACCGGCCCCTCCTCCATGTGGGGGGCGGGGCCCACACTGCTCCCGGGCACCAGAGGGTCAGCAGAGGCCTCAACTTGCCCAGTTAGCAGGAGAGTGGGCTGCCTTGTTCTCTCCCAGGCAGATCCTCGATGCCCCCTCTGGGTCAGTTCCAGGGCCAGTCCACTTGTTCTTCAGGCCTCAGCTCAGCCATCGCTCCCTCTGGAAACCCTCCCACACACCAGGCTGAGTTACGTGCTCCTCAGCCGCCCTGTGCTCCCCACGCCAGCTCTGACCACTCCACTGTGTCATTGTCTAGAGCAGTGGTTCCCAACCTTCTGGCCCTTTAAATACAGTGCCTCCTGTTGTGACCCAACCATAAAATTATTTTCGTTGCTACTTCATAATTGTTATGTTGCTACTGTGACGAATCATAATGTAAATATCTGATAGGCAGGATGGTCTTAGGTGACTCCTGTGAAAGAGTCATTCGACCGCCAAAGGGGTCGCGACCCACAGGTTGAGAATCACTGGTCTAGAGGTCCTTGGGGACAAGGCTCAGCGCACAGCACTGGAAGGTGGTTAGTGAATGAATAAAGGAATGAATGAACGAGCAAATGGAGAGGACTATTGGAACTCCAACAAAGGAAGGGGACATAGGAAAGTGCTAGGGCTCTGGAGTCACAAGGACCTGGGTTCAAATCCCGGCTCTACCATTGTAAGCTATATGCCCCTAAGCAAATTCCTTGACCTCTCTGAGCTTCCCC